AGCAGGGCGGACGTGCTCGACGATGGTGGCCGGCGTGTGGGCCGTCGAATTTATTTGAAGAATCACGGGAAAAAACAACAACAAAAAGAGGTTGGGGCCAGATCCCTTAGCCACGGCGGGACGGGTAGTAGCGCGCGTGCGTCTCCGCTGTTGCCAGCAGCCCCTGGGAGATGCTGCGGGGAGACTTTCTCCCGCACGCACGAGGCGCACCTTTTCCTTTGAAAGAATTCCTCCCTGCACTTCGCGCTGCTCCCACCGAGGGGCTGCGCCACCCTTCCTCATTTCAAGAGCCTCGGGCGGTGGTTTCTCCCTCGTCTCCCGCGCAACCGTCCGCCTGTCGTATTTCCACCTCGTCTTTCGCTGGCGCGGCTCCTCCCAGTTGCTGCAAAGCACGCGACTACTTCCTGCCGGTGTTGCTGCGCATGCCTCCAACGTCTTTGTCGCGGCAGCAGCAGCGGCGGCGGCGGTAACTCCAGGGCAGGGGCTTCGCTCCACAATTGGCCGCGACTCGGTTGTGGCCGCCCATTCTTTTCCCTACGACAACCCCAAGCCACGCCGCCCGTCGCGGAGGACAGCACGCGCAACAAAAGGATCGACACACCGCACAAATGCTTGTTTTATTTTGTTCCGCCCGCACACAGCAGCAAAAGGGAAACAACAGACCAACAAATACGCCGCGAGCAACAAAGAACAGGCGTTCATTCATTACTTTCGCCGTCCCCTCCTTCTGCTGGCCGCCAACGGCATTCGCTTGCCCCCCACAACCCGCCGCAGGCAGGGACCATACAAAGAACCCACAAAAGCACCGCAAACAGACGGTGCTGCAACGCCGCTGGTGTGACAGCAACGCAAAAAGCAGGAGCGCCTCCACACAACATCCTCCAACGCACACAAAACGGGGGAAGTGTGGCGGAGGGAAGTCAGCACCAAAGATCAACAGAAATAGCATGAAGAGGAAACAGAGCACCCTCCATTATACCAGCGTCAAATGCCATCGCTCCAGCAAACATCCTCCTCCCCAGACGGGCACGCATCGTCACAAACCTCCAAACGCACCGGTCACATACTCTTCCCGTCCGTCCAGATTCCAGTGGCCCTGTGATGGCTGGCGCGTGTTATGGTGTGCTTTGACACTTGTATGCTGCCTTGGTGCCTTTCCAACCGTGTTGTAGCAGTGGCCAGAGGCGTCGCACACGTCGTTTTGAAAGCATTCTGGTTGAATTCACGCAGAGCAAACGCGTTATGCTTCTGTCGCGGCAGCATGTTCAAAAATCCGCATGCCCCCCCTTTTTAGTCATACCAGAAGCTTTTGTGCGGTCCTAAGCTCTTCGTTCAACAGAGTTGGCAGCATCTTCGTTTACTGGATGACGCTGTTTTTGAGCGGCTGCAGGCTGTCTATTTTTTAAAAAGGCGTTTCCCTCCCAAATCCACATCGTATTCCGCGTAGCAAGCTCGCGGAATCCTTTCATTATGGCATTCTCTTTGTACCACTTCAAAATGATTCACGTAAATGGTACGAAGGCGGAGAGGCGCTCCTAAACCGCTACTCGTAATGTTGGTTTCTTTTTCAGTCTTTCACCTGCCGGGTCTCCATTCCAAAAAAAAAATGCGAAATGATACGACGATGGGGAAGTTTGAGGATCGATCCGTATTCCTAGGCCATCCCCCGCGAATTTTAAAGCAAAAACATGCACTCAAAAAAAAAAAAAAATTCCCGGCCAATCCTCTCAATCACCGCGGCAAGCCCTTTCAGTTTGAAGTCACCACACGTGGACTCTGTGTCCGCCATGTCACACCCCTTTGCCGGCGTAGCTCCTCCATCTGCCAGCGGTGAATTTCCTCCGCGGTGCTGCGGTGAAGAGGCTGCCGCCTCTCCCATTTGAGTCGGCAAAATTCCCTTTCTAGCGCCTCCCGCTTTCCACGCTCCTCCTCTAGCTCAAGCCGAAGTTCTCGCAAGCGAATTTCGAGCGCGCCGATAACCTCCCTGCTTCTCTCTGGGGCCCGCGTCTCGTCTGAGCCAGCGACGTCAGTCGCGGTATGGTCGCCTGCAAAAACATGGGTTTGTGACGCTTCCGCAGGCGCTCCGTTCCACCGTGCCTTCCCTGCAGGCTCCGGGACAACAAACAAAGGTAGTGCTTGCGGTGTATTGTCCCGCCCTCCCTCCTTCTGAGAAAAAGTGACAGGGCCGCGAGTGAAAAGCCTCAGGAAAACAACATTTGCCAATCCACGTGGCATCCCTACGGATTTCGGCGTCTCCATGGGCCGCAGCAGTAGTCCATTCCAGACGAGATCGCCCGCCCGTCGAATGCTCTTGAGAACGTTCTTGAAATTTACATGGGGTTCTAGTTGCAGGAAGCGGTGCGGTTCTTCGCCGTGTATTTGCACCTCCAGAAAAACCCTTCTTGTGGTCGCGTCCTCATCATTTCCGGTGGCGCTGTTGCGGTTCATAATTCCAGTACCGCTGATCGGTGCTTTTGCCGCTCACAAAATAAAATATAAAAAAGCTGCAACAATACACGCAATAACGTCCTATGGTACCCTTTTTCTGTTTTCCGCTTTTGGCTTTCCTCTCAATAAACACACACACACACAAAAAAAGGGAAATTTATTAGCTGAGGTTACGGGGATGCAAATAAGCACGGAAAAAAGTATCTGTAATTCACACAAAAAAAGGATTCCAAGAGAAGGCCGTCTCGTTCCCCTCGGACTGTTCCTTCAAGCAACTCACCTTGTTTGCAGCCAACAGCGTTCGCCACGTTTTTTTTTTCCTTTTACTTCCTCGAACTTCAATCCATCCCTCACCAACAGCTGTAGGAAAGAAGCATGTCGGTTACGGCCGTGGTCGCGGTCTTCGTCCGTTTATCCACGCGTCTTCATCTTCATGCTCATCCGTGCTACGTCGACGTCGCAAAAACAAGTCGGCGCCATACTCGGTTGGATTGTCAGAAGGAAATTCCTCACGCACCTCAAAAGAGATTCGCACATCAGCAAACTTCGGGTATGCCCGCGCCTGTGGAGATGCCTCTGCTAACATCGCCTCCTCGGCCCACTCCAGGTCCATCGTCACGGTGTCTTCGGCATCGTAAAGAAGTGCTTCAGGCGCAGTAAACAGAGCGTCTCTGGTGGTCTCACCATCCGGAGAAATTGCCTCCAGATTTTCTTCCGGCTCCGACAACGGCTCCATGATGTACGCACTCGTATGGTTGACTCCCCTGTTTGGCGACCCCTCACCGGCGGAGGAGGGTGTGGGTTCAGAAGATGAAAATGAAGAGTTGTCACTTCCTAAACTTTGCTGCGTGATGTAGTTTATAGTGGGGCGATGTTGGACTTTTTCCTGACACCCCGACCCCACCTCGACAAACCCCTGGCCTGTGATGCGTCTCTCCATGTTCTGAATTCGGCTTTGCACGTTAGGATTTGTTAAAAATAGCTCCATAGTGTGTCTCAGTGCCCCGCACAAATCGACAACGGGTGTTTTTGTGGCTAATGTTCGCCACGTTTCCACCATAATTACACTCAGGGCGGTATGCCGAATTCCTTCATCCAAACAAAAGCCCAAACACTCCAAAAGAAATCCCGGTTTCCCTGATGTATCCTCTACTGTGAGATGCTGTAAAACAACATTGTCTTTCTCTTTTATTTCACATGAAAAAATCGATAAAACTGCCTGTTGAAGCAACAGGCACAGGCGGTGACAGTCTGGGTATTTTGCGCAGATTGCCACCAGTTTCTCTAAAAAAAACGACTCCACGATGATGGAATCCGTATCGCGTAGATGAAATCGAAGAATTTCTACAAACATTGCGCATAATTCTATCCGCATTGAATCCACGCAAGACGTAATTACGGTCTCACTAGAAAAAATAAGATCACAAAACCTTTCAGTATACATCTTTAAAAGTTTAATGGGTGCGATCAACATTAAATTCATAAAATACATTTCCCTTACGTCAGGTGGGATTAAAGAAGTCCGCACAAGAGCTATGATGTCGTGATACAACTCAACGCCCTGAGCAGCTAGTGGGACGGCACTCGGATTTTTTCTGGCCTCTTCACAGCCCAGTAGAATGTCCATGAAGTACACAGATAGCAAGTCATATTTTAAAAGTTCATCCACTATGGGCCCTGCGGCCTGGCTGCATCCGTGATTGATCAGTTCTTTCCACACGTTAAAGTAAGGCTGGCAACTTATAGTGCGCAACGCAGCCGCCATATGAGAAGCCAGGTGTTTTGCAAAACGGAGTCGAATGCAGGCCTCTGTAAATATCAATGGCCGTGGTTGAAAAAAAACGATCTCTGTCGTTGGAAGATTCGGTTCAAACAAAAATGCTAACGTATCGGATATGATAAAACTTGTCGACATGTGACGAATAATCGCCAAAACCATTTCCTCATCTAATACGGCAGCAATGGCCTCCGTCGTTGTGACAGAACTAACATCAAAGGCACCCAAAATAATGCGCCGAAAACACTGAGCAACCAGTGGGGTCAGCGGCGCAGCAATTCCAAGGACGAGAAATGCAGCAGCCACAATGCGTCTGATAAACACCTCCGCCTCTTGGGAAACATCCAAATAAAACGTAATCAATTCTGTGG